AGTTTATAGAAAGTTAAAAAAAAAAACGGTAACTATAAGAAATTATGGAACCTATCAGCCAAACAGAGCAAATCAAGAGAACAGAGCTACACGATGTCGTTTCTGTTCTCTTGATTTGCTCTGTTTGGCTGATAGAACCTAACCCTATTTTTTTATAGTATAAAACTAAAATGTAACTTAAAACCATTGAACTAAGAATGATACTGAAATATAGGTTAGTTGATAGAGTGTGACGTGAATGTACCCTGAGAAATGGAAATGGAATACGAAAAGCCTTCAATAACTTATCGAGATTTGCGGCAATCGCTAATCCATTGCTAGTGAGACGCTGCCCCTTCCTCATGACTCTCTCCATCATCATGGCCGCTTCGCTATCTATCCCTTCAAATCCATCGATGCACGTCTGTTGGTATGTGATTGATCCACTGAGCCACACACAAAGATCCTCAACAAAGTCTGACAATCTTGTGAACAAAAATCCCCTAAATTTATCTCTCGTTTTTCGAAGATCATCAATTGCATCATCCATAAGCTCTCGACAAGTATTCAGGGCGTTCCTTGTGTGCACATCCGCATCCGCTCTACTTTTTAGATCAATCATCCCCCTGTCAATTCCACTTCTAATTGAGACGATAGCGAGATCGAAAGCAGATCTTATTAGATTTCGGGGATCCGGCGACCTCACGGTTGCGAGACTCGTGGTGCAATCTTGTTTGTAATCGGTGGAGGAACATATAATAGTCACCGCCGTCTTTGTTATCATCAGCTTGCTTTCACGGTGAATCTCTTCCATTTTTCTACTCGGGCTGCTGCCATCGTTGGCCTCTACACAAATGACCATTGCCATAAGGAGAGCCGTGAGGCCTAACAAGACATATTTCTTCATCTTGCTTGAATAATTCCATCCATTCCACATTATTTTTTCTTCCGGGAATGTTTTGGGATTTTTTAGAATATCAATTGCTAAATGTGAGTTGGTTTTGAAGTCATCCTTATATGTGGAAGAAGGGAGGGAAAGTTAGTTATCTACCGTTAAAAAACTTGAGGCAGTAATTAGTTTCTGAAAAATCCCAAAATATTTGAAATTTGTTTCCAGTGGTTTTTGCTATACTTGCGGGGAAATTCATAATCTTTTTATACCATTGGAGGTGATTAAGCACAAAATTGAATGCATAAAACATAGCTTTAAAAATTTGTATTTGCTAATTCTTTATCACATGGGACCTTTTTCTCTATGTAAACTTAAGATATAATGAAAAATGGAAAGAAAAGAGAGAACATGGGCACACACAAAAAAACAGAGATTTTTTTTTGACATCTTTGGATCGACAAAGTCCGATCCATAGCCAATCCCTACTACGCGGGGTAACGCGACTTACTGGAATCGAACTCCGGTGGGGAAGGCGGAGTCAAATGGACTTAACCATTTGACTAAAGGCACATCCAAAAAAAAAAAAAAAAAAAAAAAACAGAGATAGAGTAAACATTTTTGTAAAGAAATTGTAACAAATAAAAAATTAGCACATGTCTTATTTTCTAATCATTTATATTCATATTCATATTCAGATTCAGTAATATCTAGTTCTTATTTAATTCTAAGAGTTGGGTGACCACATTTGTTTCCTTTTAATTTTCTTATAGCCACCCAAAACTATTTTCACCTTATTTTCCAAACTACCATTTACTTTCTGAAATTCCTACGACCATCATCCACGACTTGATGTTAGATTGTTAGAATTCACACAAGATCTTTAGGGTTTACATGATGCATCTGACCCATGGTGCTGATGTCTCCCCAATTCATCCACGAAAACAGGATCTTAGATGTGTTGGAAAAAAAAACTAAAAATAATGTGAGATGAAAAATTAGATTAATTTTATACCTTGTAATATGTTTTCATGATTTTCTATGTAGTATACATAAATCATTTCATAATTCCGATAAATTAGAACTTCTATACACATTTTGATTCATATGCAGAGCCGCCCTGAAGGGAACAGTCTATTTTTGGTCTGCTTGGCGTCTCTAAAATATTAGACACAGCTCGGTGCATATATATATGACATGCTTATTTAAAGTTATTTTAACACATGCTTATTTATATTAAAAAAAGTCAAGACACATATGTTTACATAGCACCGTAACATTTTACATTACATAAGCTTCAACATAAAGTACTTCTAGATATACATAACAGACACGCACACTTGGTTGTGATCTAAAGCTTATTCTAACTCAAAACCGTGGCAACAAGCTTTAGCATATGTGTTGGTCTGATCTTTTTTCGAAACCAGAAACAAAAATTATCACACTTACTTACAAACTCCATGCATCTTCAACATAACTTGAGGTTTTCACGGCTTATTTACGAAATTCCTTTATAAGCACCCCTCCATAGAGTTGGACCGCCTCGTCACAGTTAATAACTCGTCCTTTTGGCGTCTCAAACCGGTTGGGATTGCCAACAAAAGGACGGGTACCACCAAAGTATTGAATATGTTCTGTGGGGTGAGAAAGAACAGGTTCTTTTATAGTTGACTCATGTGAGTACATATAAATAGCTCGACCACAACTAGTAGTACTAGTCGCCTCTCTTACGGTATAAATTTGTGGACCACCATATTTGTAAGCACTTTGGCTAAAACGAGAAGGGAACTCGCCTTTAGGATCATATGGTTTAGTGGTTAGTTTTGGAGACTTACCATACACCTTATCGACCATTTCAAAAGCCTTTTGAGCGATCTTTGTATTCCTATCCTTAATTTGAGCCATTGGTGAAACACAAAGAAGAGAAGAAAAGTCTATTGTTTTAGTGTATAATCTTTGTTTCTTTTGGTTTTAGTTTGATTTTGAAAAGGAAGCCAATGCCCTTTATATAGAAAAATCTTCTAAAGGAACCAACATATTCTTTTAACAAGAGCATTTCGTTACTTTTCTATCCACTTGCATTTTCTTATGAGCACTCGTTTTCTTTTACTAATATCCAGTATTTAATATGAAGTTGTAAGTTCTGATATATTCCTAATTATGAAAAATATCGATACGTGTAATCATCACAGAGATGGAATCAAATTTAAATAATCATTCGTATCAAAGAATGTAAATAATCATTATTCCCTCAATAATGTATCTCCTTCCAAGGCCATGGACGGTTTGACGGTCTGCCCTATCCTTTCCTTTCCTTCCCATATATTAGATTACTTTTTTTTTTTTTTTTTTTTTTTTTTTTTTTTTGACATCTTTGGATCGACAAGGTCCGATCCATAGCAATTCCTACTACGCTGGGTAACGCGACTTAGTGGAATCGAACTCCGATGGGGAAGGCGGAGTCAAATAGACTTAACCACTTGACTAAAGACACATCCCCATATTAGATTACTTATATTTTACAGATTTGACATATCACATGATTAAATTTATCATAGATATATTACTTAGCATCAAATTTACTATTTGAACTCAATTTTAAATGACCATCATTCGCTCTATAATTAATAGTTTTCTTTCATACTGTTCTTCTCTATGAACTGACGCATGGTTCTTCTACCTAAGCAAAACATTTCAAAAACTATATCAAAGTCTGTCAAAAAAAAAAATCATAAACTTTATTCAATGTATTTCGTTTGAGACGCGTTGTCGGGAATTGTGATGTTTTCTTCCAGTGACTAGTGACGCCAACAGAAACAGAAACTAGAAAGCTAGTCAATCATGGCTAAGGAAAACATCAACGTAAAAGAAAAGAATTGTATAGATATAAATCGAAAAAAGTATGAAGAAAGTAGACAAGAGAGTTTAGAGATTACTTCTCGATAACAAATACAAAGATGTAAGATCTTATCTCTTGAAAATAAAAGTAAAGTGAAAAAGAACACGTCGTTTTGATTTAATGAAGGTATATTGGAGCTTGGCCGTGGCACCAGGATGTGGAGGCACGGCAATGAGGCTCTTGGCCACGGACGGATGCTCACAGGCCACGGCGTCGAGGCTTTCGCCACTGTTGGTTTCTTCTCGGGTGTGGCTGGACAGGGCTCCCTTCAATCGGGCATAAAAACGTTTGGATTGTCGGTTTTGGTCGATTTCACTTAGAGACAGATCCTGACTCTTCCAGCTTTCCGTAGACTCCAAAAACGCATCATTTGTTGCTCGGGAAGGCCTTCAACAGATGTCAAACTGCCAATGGTCCGAAACTGTCTTGAAAGCTCATTTTCCTTCATTTATGCTTTTTATCCTTTAAAGCATACAAAATGTGATAAACAACGTTTGAAAACATTAAGAAAAAACTAGCTAAAATGGACAAAAATACGATGTTATCATCACACAACTATCCACTTCATATGGCCTGATAGAAACTGAAGAAGACATGGATATATTGTGAATTCTCATTCTGCTTCATCTGGGCTATTGATAAAATAGTCGGAAAACGACTTTACTTCCTTAAGAAACTAGGCTCGACGTATATGGTTGATGGCCTTGATACTCTGGTTTGGTTCACGGAGGTGGTTGCTTATGATAGGATCTGCTTTGTTTTAGCTCCCAATTCTGTGTTTTTTAGAGTCATGTATATATTAACAAAGGCTTCTAATTTCAAAAGAATGTAAATAGAAACCGGTGTCTTAATCTGCTAAACCAATTGGAAAAATAATTATTCACTACATTTGAGGTTCCATAATACATTTAAAATATTATTATTTTCAGCATCAACTTAAAGTTTGCTTTCATTCCCTGTTTTCTATTAGTTATTAGTTATTTTTTTTTGTCAATCAGTTATTAGTTATTACTATTAGATTTGATCAAATTACTAAAACTCCTATTAATATATTTTTTTTACATTAATTACTTCAAAATATTTTATTAAAAACTCTTAGAACATAAAATAATAATAAAATTTAGTTAATACTACAAAAACTTTTTTTTAGAAATTACCATGAAAGGGTCAAATATTTTTTGGTCTGCCTGGCGTCTCTGAATTATTAGGCCCCCGCTTGTTGCATATATGACATGCTTAGTAAAGTCTTTGAATACATGCTTATTTATGTTTACAAAGAGTCAAAGACACATATGTTTACATAGCGCCATAACATTTTACATTACGTAAACTTCAACATATAGTACTCTAGCTAGATATATAACAGACACAAACACTTGGTTATGATCTAAAGCTTATTCTAAGTCAAAACCGTTACAACAAGCTTTAGCATATGTGTTGGTCTGCACTTTTTCCGAAAGCAGAAATAAAACTTATCACACTTATTTACAAACTCACCATGCATCTTTAAACTTGAGGTTTACACCGCTTATTTACGAAATTCCTTTATAAGCACTCCTCCATAGAGTCTGACCGCCTCGTCGCAGGTAATACGCCGTCCTTTAGGCCTCTCAAACGGGTTGGGATTTCCATCAGAAGGATGGGCACCACCAAAGAAGTGAATAGGTTTCGCCGGGTGAGAAACAACCGGTTCCTCTATGGTTGTCTCAGGTGAGAATCGATAAGGAAGGGGCTTATCGATCATTTCCTTTTGAGCGACCCATCTATTCCTATCCTTTTGAGCCATTGCCATCGAAGCAGAAAGGAGAGAAGAAAGGTGTTTTGTTTTAGTGTGTTATCTTTAGTTTGTTTTGGGAAAGAAAGCCAATGCTATCTTTATATAGATATTATGGAACCAACATGCTTTTAACAAGTCATGTTGAGTCAAATTAAACAACCACAGAGCGAGAACTCTGGGAAGAAGTTAAAGAGGACAAGCCACGACTTTTTAAGGATCGGGCTGAATTGTACCAATCGAACCCTGGTTGCATGTGTAAGTAGTGGTCCAGACACAAGTACACAGCCACTTTGAACGGGTTCAATTTGTAAAAAAAAACATGCTTTTAGCAAGAGCTTTTCAGTGAAATTTTGTTCTGGAATTATCCACTTGTATTTGCGTGTGAACACTCGTCTTCTTTTAGTTTATTCTATTTAATATAAAGTTTAAGTTTTGATATTTTCCTTAGGAAAATTATGATACGTGTAATTATCACAAACATGGAATCAAATTTTGTTAATCATTCCGTCAAAGGTCATGGACGGTCTGCCTGATCCTTTCCTTATTTTTTTTCTCTCATATCTAGTAAATGCAGGTTAAACAAATCCTTTCATTTCCGTAAATTAGAATAGAGTATATTATAATTCAGTTTAAACAAAAAAAAAGATTACTTATATTATACAGACCACATGACATATTTATATACATATAGCTCGCATCAAATTGATGTAAAAGAAAAACTTATCATCAAATTCAAGGAATAAGTTGCAATATAGTACGTTTTCCAAAGATAATTGGAAAAGCAGTACGTGTACTATTTACAACTCAGAAATACACCCTGCTTTTACTGTTACACTAATAGAAGATAAAGTGTGTAATGGCAAGAAAAACCTTATCAAAAACTCATATTTACAATGTTGCCATTCTTAATCCAAAAAAAAAAAGATGTCTCTTTTCTCTCTCTCCCAGCATCTGATTCCATCATTCTTCTTCTTCGAGCAATCTCTTCTCCACCAACAACAACAACCCAACTAAACTTTTTCTTCTCTCCCTCAGATTCGCCACCTCCAATTCTCTATCATCAATCACGTCTTTAAAGTAGATCGATTGGAGATTTGAACAAGAGAGAGATGAAAGTTGTAGAGATGGAACAAAATTGCAGAGATGGAGCGGAGAGAGAGATGGAATCTAGGGTTCCAATAGAAACCATCGAAGAAGACGAAGTGAGTTAAAATCTCTTTATGGGTTTCTGAAAATTTCGTTATTTGAATCGATTTTGGAATTTTTCAACTTCTGGGTTTTCTCCTACAGGAGTTCGATTGGGAAGCAGCAGTCAAAGAAATCGACTTGGCTTGTCTTAAAACCTCCAATGCTTCTTCTTCTTCCCATTTCACTCCTTTGGCTCATCCTCCAATTACATGAAATAGCACTAAGCCTCATGCGAGAAGACAATCTACTCTCGATAAATTCATCAGAAGAACCGAGCATAAACCGGAGAATCAAGTTGTTTCCGAGTCGAATTTTGATGAATTTGAATGTGGTGGTGGTAACGATAAGAGTCCTTTAGTTGGGATTGATCCTGAGGCAGCTAAAACTTGGATTTATCCAGGTTTGGGAGATTGTAACTTTTGATAAATCTTTGTAAGTTGGGAGTAGACTCGGTAGTGAACTGTTTCTGATCTAACTGTTAGAGAAGATGTTGTTGGTTACATATTTGGCAAATGGTTTGGCTCTTGCTCTTGTTAGTTGTTTCGTTAAGAAGATAAGTTTGATTATGTTATTCACATGATGTGTGTTGTTTGATTTCTCTAACTTAGGGATGGTTCAGAGCCGAATCTTCTTGTTGTAGCGATTGGTTCTCATATCGATGCTATTCCATATTCCGGAAAGTATGATGGCGTTGTCGGTGTTGTAGAAAGTGAAGTTTAAGATTGTGTTTCTTGATGATTTTTGTTGGGCTTTCTTTGTTTTCTTAAGGTTGGGGGTTAAACCGAAGAGATCTCTGGAGATAATCTTGTTTACATCTGAAGAACCAACCCGATTTGGGATCAGTTGTTTAGGAAGGTACCCTTGTTTTGATTTTTATGAACTGAGAAACGATTGTTTCTTTGTTTCTTTTTGTCTTACTTGTAAATTTTCTTGATACAGCTGCTTGCTTGCTGGAAGCAAAGAACTTACAGAAGTACTAAAGACTACAATTTTTGATGGCCAAAATGTGTCCTTTATAGAAGCAGCTAGATCAACTGGATACGCAGAAGATAAAGATGACGACTTATCGAGTGTGTTCTTGAAGAAAGGAAGTTACTGTTTTGTGTGCCTTTTCTAGTTCTGATTTCATTCATTGTGATTGGAAGATTTTAAAGAACCAGTACACAACACACATAATATCCTACCAATTCAGATTTCATATCTTGTGATGTACAGATACCATTTCGTACAGCCAGGTTTCTATACAGATAGTATTCTGTTCATGCTGTACAGATAGCATTCTGTACATATCTTATGCTGTACAGATGCCAGCAAGAGGTTATCTGTACATCACTTAGACACACAGAAAACAATATTTTTTTTTAAATTGGTAGTGTTGGATTTCTTATATATTTGTTTAGTTTATTTATGAGGGTTTCGGTTAGGGTTAGGTTAAAGTGATAAGCGTAACGTACCAGCATTCTGTACAGATAGCATTCGGTTAGCGTTATGCTGTACAGATAGCATTCCGTACAGCATGGTGGCTGTACAGATAGCATTTCGTACAGTTAATCTGTACAGCATGGTGGCTGTACAGATAGCATTCGGTTAGCGTTATGTTGTACAGATAGCATTCCGTACAGCATGGTGGCTGTACAGATAGCATTTTGTACAGCTAATATGTACAGCATACTATATGTACAGACTGCGATTTTGGTAAACTTATGGAAATCATAATTGATATATAACATTTTGTGGATAACTAAATATGTTAATAAATTATAAGTTCGTTGCAAACTACCAGACCCAGTACACAACACACATAATATCCTACCAATTCAGACTACATAAATATTACACAACTTATATATAAGTCTTTAAACAAACAACTAGAACTCGTTTTCACCTTCAACAAAAGCAGCATAAGTGTCCATGCTTTAGAAATGTGTTTCCAAATGCAAAACCTAGGCATATAAAATTATGGAATTGGAAATTGAATGAGGAAGGGATAATTCTCCGTAAGCAAAGGTCTACGACAAAGAAATTTAAAAAAATTATGGAGAACTCCAATTCTGATTATACGGTCCATATTTGTGTAGATGTGTAAAGTTTGGTTAGCAATTAATATTAATGTGAATAAGATCGAATGATTAAGATGCCCCAATGTCGTTGCCTAATCCTACGGTCTGATTCTTCCTCTTCTTCTTTACAGATTACTTGCCAAAGCTGAACCTAGTAGTTAATAACAACAAAACAAAATAGTTCTTTTAAGACTCATCAACAGACCCAAATCAATTTTATCACACACAACAAAACCTCATCACCCCAAACATCACTCAAAATCATATGCATATAGAACAAATGAATCCAAAGAACAACGACTAAATCATCATCTTAACATATCACTCAAAATCATAGGCATATAAAGAAGATCATTTTAATTTCTCAAGAGCTGGGAAATCTGAAATTTCAATTTCACACCAAAGACATTCAAACACAATCAACAGAGCTAATCGAATCGAAACTTAATTTCTACCAAATTCAATCGCTCAAACTAAAATAAATCCCCAAATATTTACCTTCAGCGGCGGTAACAGCGGAGGAGACGACGAGTTTCAGAGTCGAAGTGAAAACAAATGGCTTTCAAAGTTTTCTTCAAATCCGGCCAAATAAATTCGCTGGTAACACGGCGAGACCTCGGCGGTGAAATGAAATCAGAGAAAGAGAGAGAGCTATGAGAGCCAGGGGAGAGAGAGAAAGCGAATCCAAGCCGTTGATCTCCTCTGGTACGATGTTTCCCATCAACGGCTTCTCCAACGGTCCAACGATTTCTAGCTTTTCCTCCTCCATTCTCTGATTTCCTCCAATTAGCCGATGTAACGGAATCGATAAATAAAGATGCAAATTTTCCAGACTTTGTTATGGATTTTGTGTTGCTTCGGATTCAAATTAAGAGGAGAAATCGAGGGATTAATTGAAAATTTTAGGGATTACTGAGAAGAAACGAAAAGAGACGGAAGGAGACGGAGGAGGAGGAGGCTGGGTTTGTGTTTGTGTTCCTGTCTTGTTCGTATCGGTGAAGAAAGCCATTAATGGTGGTGGTCTTTGTTTTGTCTTTAGATTGGAGATTGGAGATTTGAACAAGAGAGAGAGATGAAAGTTGCAGTGATGGAGCGGAGAGAGAGATGAGAATTACAGAGATGGAGTTGCAAGATAGAGAGATGGGTGGAGAGAGACGAAAGGGCATTTTCGTCACTGCACAAATCCTCTTTTTACTCTATTAGAGGAGAGTATCTATTAGAGTAACAGTGCAAACACACTTTTACTCATTATAAATAGTAACTGTACTACTTTTATAATTAAGTGTCAGAAACGTACTATATTCCCAACTCACCCCAAATTCAATATCTGAACTCAGTTGTAAAGACCATCGCTCTATAATTAATAATTTGATTTCATATTGTTCCCATTAAATAATTACATCATTTCTGTATGAATTCACGCGTAGACCTGAAGAAAAAGGGAAAAAAAAAAAAAAACTATTTGCCATGTCTTTATTTTTATCTGAAACCTAATTAAGTCTATCATATTTGTGTTTAAAGCAATTTTTGGATATCATATCCCTGTCTACACTGTTCAACAATATTATTTTTTTTTTTGTCTATGTCATATTGTTAAACTAGACATAATAAAATCATAAGTATTACCAGTAAAAAGACATGAATTCAAGTATTACAATAAAAGTTACAGAAATTATATTGGAAAATATCGATTTCTAATACGTGATCATAAGAAAATTTTACTAATCAATGATAAAATTTTGCTGTCTGTTTTTTTTTTAATGTCAAGAACCTGTAACGTATTGAAATTCATCTAAATGATCAGACACTACAAGAAAAACTGTCCAAAGCCACAAAATAGTCACAAAAAGTTTGTAGCTAGTTTATTTTAGCCACAAATCAGACACAAAACTATGTCGTGGCCAGTTCGTAGCCATGTTGTGGCTAAACCGTAGCTAGTTAGCCACAAAAAAAAATTGTGGCTAAATTGTAGCTATTAATGCCACGAATTACATTCGTGGCTAAGTCGTGGCTTGATAGCTACGGATAATCCACAAATTTGTAGTGGCTATTTCATTTTTTTTTTTATTAAGATAGCCACAAATTTACCACAGATTTATCCATGGCTATACGAAACTCTAAACCCAAAGACAAGCCCTAAAACCCTAAACTCACCAAAAATAAATTAATTACTATGGTGTATAGTAATGTACCCTAAAACTAAGATGTAATAATTATGAAAAATCTTATTTTCAAAACGTAACCATAACCTTAAATCTTAACTCTAAACCCTATACCACAAACCTGACCTAACTCCAAACTCTAAACTTTAAACCTTAAATTTTTAATCATAGAAATTAAATCATAAACCATAAAATGAAATTATAAACATTATATATATGCATAAAAATAATATTTAAAATTATTTACATAGGTACTTTACATAAAATACTTCTAGAAATTATTTCCTTTTAAATTTAAATCTCTAAACCAACAATTCTATTATTACATATATTCAAAATTAAAATTCCAATTCCAAATTACTAAAACTTAAGTTTGAAACCTTGTATTATAAAGTCAAAACCTTTAACTTAATAATACACATACTTAAAAAATAAATCAAAACTGTAAAACCAAAGTTTACCAAAACAAAGAAGTGAAGGCTTCTTATTGGGTAATCTATAGGGACAAGGATTAGACTTTGTCTTATTATCTACCATTGATTAGATTAAATCCAACGGATGAAATCTTTTCTTTCTTTTCTCTTTTGTTGGTCAAAAGTTCTCCTCTTTTTTTCTCTTTCTCTTTCTCCTTCTCCTTCTCCTTCTCCTTCTCCTTCGTTCACTTCATTAGATCCCAGCAGCGACAAGCGAGACCATTGCAGCAAGCGACGAATAAGATTTTCTAGTGTGTTTTTGGAGAAGCTGAGAACTCACTTCAAAAACATCAAAGAGAAGTATCAAACAAACATTATGATTACAAGATCTACGGTAAGATGTTATTCAAAGATTTTTGTTTTCCTACAATCTAACTCGTAGATAAGTAAACTAACCTATTGCTTCTTCTTCTTAGGCCGTATGGGCAGTATTTAAGGCTGGATCTGGGCTGAGCTTCTGTTTCAGGGCGGCGGAAGTCTTAGGAGAAGGTTAGATGAAAAGCCACTGTAGCTATCTAAAGTCTAGATCCGTGGGGGAAATCGTCTGGCCGTTCGGTGAGTAGTGCCGCTAGTGGAGTGCCGGTTCTTCCCTTCCACAGGTTGATGCCGACGTCGAGGCTTGTCGGCGAACAGATTCTGGTTGCGGCGGCGAGGACCTCCTTTGTTGTGATTAGGGTTTTTTTTTTGTTGATTTTAGCTTCCGGTTGAACCGGCATGTTGTTACCGGTTCAATTCTGTAACTCTTAACCAATTAATACAAATATTCATTTTTACTTAATTAAAAATAATTTGTTTTTTTTTGTTTTTTTTTTTTTTAGTAGCCACGGAAAACCACCATATAAATTAGCTACAAATCTATATAGATACAAATTTTGTGTGTGGTTATTCGTGGCAATCCATAGTTATTAGACACAACAAAGTTTCTGGCATTTTGTGGCTATAATAGACACAAATTTGATTGTGGTAAGTTAGTGGCTATATGCCACAAAGTTTATCGTGACTAATTTGTGGCTACGAGTCCACGAATAGCAACGAAGAAAAATAGCTACAACGCTATAGACACAAGTTTTTTTTGTGGCTTTCCGAAGCTATAATCAAAATAGCCACGGAATTTGGGGCATAGATACAAAAAAGTTGTAGCTATAGACAGTTTTTTTTGTAGTGAGAAGGCAACCATAATATCACAAACCACTAAAAGTAAGAAATTTTGTTGTCTAAATATTTTCTTTCCACCTTTTGTTTTATGATTACTTGCACGTGGAATTAAAAAAAAAATTAGGGTTTTCCAAGAATTTAATGTTGTTTAGTAATGAATCTTGCCGCCTTTAATTTGTCTATTTTAAAAAGTTTACAAAGATTTCAAATATCTCAAATTATAAAATAGTTTTGGATGCTTTTTTTTGTTAAAGCATAGATTTATGGGAAATATTAGAAAGTAACCTTTGACCGAAAAGTTATTAAGAAAATAGTCATAGATCTATTTTTTGTTAGAAAGTAATTATGGTCTCACACTTTAGAGTGAGTGAATTGACAAAATTAACTTTTTTTGTTTTGGAGTTGAATAGAAGGAGAGAAAGATTCGGTGTCAAAGACGGAAATAAAGATAATTTTCGTGAAATTTTAGAAAATAGCATGTAATATTTAAATTTAACATGATATATTAAACCGAATAACCTGTTATTTACAAAAACATACTGTTGTTTTTTTAAAAAGACATGTTTTTGAAACAAATGAACTGAATAGCGTGTAACATATAAAAATAACGTGTTATATTGAAGTAAATAGCATGTTATACTGAAAAAAAATGTTGTTTAGAAAAACAATGTATTTTTAACATTAAAATCATGCTTTTGAAAGAAATCATATGTGATCCTAATAAATAACGTGTAATATGAAAAAATAATATGTTGAAGAGAGAGATTTTATGCTATCACGTGTAATTCGAGAATGTAGCATGTTACAAAAGATAATGACAGACAGTTTAAAACAAAAACATGACGACGGAGATTCCAAAAAAAATTGAAATTTGACGAAATAAAGAGAAAGATCTTCTACAAATTGAGGAAGAGATAACCCATCAATATGGAAAGCGTTTGGTAACCTAGATTTATCGAAAGAGAGAAAGAATGGTGGCATAATATGTGTCGGATGATGGTTGTGGATGCAACAATGGAGGTAGAGAAGGAGAGAGAAATCAAAAAGTAAAAAAAATGAGAAAACAAAGGTTTTTGGGTAATTTCATCTACCCTTCTGACAAATCAATGTGTCTCATGGCTAGTTACTTAATTCTTTTTGAATCCATGGCTAGTTACTATAAATTCCCTAGATTTATTTGGATTCGGGACGTAGAGTGATACCAAGTTTAACACAAAAGTTATATTATACTGTACCAAGTTGAAATTATATGACCCTAGATAAATTCTATAAAATTACGGGATTTTTCCAAAAATTTATTGTTGTTTAATAGTGCATCTTTCTGCCTTTATCTGTTAGAAAATGTTTACATAGATTCAAATATCTCAAATTAAATAATAGTTTTTGATTCTGGACGAAGATTGATATCTTGTTAGATATTACATTATGAAGATGTAGTTGCTGTCTGATGAAGTTGTTGAATGAGTCAAGAAGTAATACATGATTTTGTCTGATGGAGTTGCTGAATGATTCAAGAAGTAATTCAAGATGCGACTGTTTTTGTGTGAGTGTCGGTTTCTAGAAGGTTTGAGAAGATATGTTTGGAGCGTGTTTAGATGATGAATCACAAAAGAAAAAGGAGTTAAAGAGATTTGGAAGACTTGATGAAAGTGGAGTTCAATGAAGAAAAGGAAAAGTGTAAAAGGAAATTTACTTTTTCTTATGGAAATTGGAAACTTTCTCGTATGGTGATTAGGAAATCGTTTTGACTATATAAGGAGGAGCTAAGAACGTCTTGGAGAGGCAAGAGAGCTGAAACATAAAGAAGAAATCTTTGAGAGCTTTCTGTGAAATTGTGTGCAGCTTAGTTTTGCGGATTTGTGCTTGTGTGATCAAGTGGTTTAGTTTTGAAGTCTAGGCTCAAGGGGAGTTTAGCTCAGGGTTAGGTTATACTGATTAAATCTAGACTCAGAGGGAGTTTAGTTAAGGGTAGAGATTATCCTTAAGGTTTCACGTTATAGAAGAGAGCGGTAAATCAAAAGGGTTGTGTTTGTTTTACGCGTTTGCGAATTGGTTGTAATTTGCTTTCTTGTTCTAGTGAAATCGAAATTTGGACTTGGTACAGGGGAGTAGGAAAAACCGAACCTCGTTAACAAATTTCTTGTCTCGTTTACTTTCCGCAATTTATCTTACCTCATCCGCACTTACACATTATATAGCAAGTTCTTCAACCAAAAATATGATATTATACCAAGTTTTGAAACTTCTTTTCATAGAGAGACTGGTTTCTTTTTATTATTTTCTGACATGCATTATTTTTTCCACAAACCCGCCGTCCACGGAATTGTTGATATGATTTATATGTAGTAAATAGATTCCGGGAGTCTACATGGCAAGTTTTGTGTCATTTCGTTTACAGTGTATGCTATTCGATTATCAATCTATTGCTTTAGTTTTCTTCTTTTTTATTTTCGGTGTATAGCTTCCAAAGTCGTATCTTTTTCTTTAAGCTTCCTCATCTTTTATTGTTTATATATAAGGATGAAACATAATCGGTTTTAATTAATGATCAATATGATTGTGATTTAGGGATTATTTGCAGCGTTTGGTGGGTTAGGTTTCAAAATACTCCATTAGTTTGATCATCTGCTTTAGGTGAAACATCAAATACTCTGGCTTTTTTTGCAATAGAACTAGGTGATCAACAAAGACGAAAATAAATTTATTATCCTTAATTCAGAATTCTATATTTGGCTTGATGAAGTTACCTTTTGTATCTCAAATTTAGTATCATTTGTAAATATTCATTGTTATCAATGAAATATTCATACACATATTTCACTAGCAGAATCTGATTACTCCTTGCCTAATTTTGCATATCCTGATTTTTATTTTTTGATACACATATTTATTGTTATCAATGAAATATTCATACAATATGTATTAGAAATTTTAGACTTTGATAACAATAAGTAAACCAAATATCTTTTGGTAAAATTGGTAGACAACAAAATGCTATGTTCTCTTACAAAAACTGGGAAATGAATACCATTATGATAACCATTAGAAATTAAAAAAAATGGGCATCCTTGGATATATGTTATATTCTTAGAGCCAAAGACTGAAAGAAGTCTATGAAAATCAGATAAGAGGAATATATAATTGTAGAGTTGAATGATACCAATTAGCCTACTTTTTCTCTTTTTCTCCCAGTGTTGCTTTAACCTTCCGAAAGCAGGATTCCATATCCCTTCTCTCCCAAGATTTGAAGATTTTTTTTTCTTAGTCATGTACATTACCACATAAATATACATACTTCCATTATACGTTTCATACATATATGATATATTTAGATTTTTATCCCCTATAAAGAATATCATGTTAAAAGTCTATGAAAATATTGCTACCAGAGTTTCAACTTGCATATTTGAAAGATTGGTTGTTTTGTCGTAGAAGAGTTTTCTTGGTTCTATTTGTTTAGGCTTATTAAAAAAATAAAGATCATGTTCTTCCCAACTTATATATATGACCAAATGTTCAGCCGAATCCATAAAAGCCTTGGTTTATATATGTATTGGGCGTTAAGCACAGGCTTGATACACTCACAGCTGGTTTCACTAACGTTAGTGCAAAGGACTGGGCTCTAAAAAATCCTATCTTTAATTACCTGCCACATGATCTGTCAAAACCACACGGACCAAGCTAGCATATTGCAATATTCCTAATAAAACCACAAATCTAACCAAATATCTAACACCCTAGTCATAATAACACACACACAAACACACAAAACTAACAAAATATGGCAGATTTCATGTTGTTTTTACTTAATTTTAAGTTTAATCTCTAACAAGTTTGTCTATATATTGATTAGATTTTCAATATTCTCCATCAATACGATAATAGATACAGAATGCATCAAATACATTCAAAGAAAAGAACTAAAGTAGAATTTTATGAAAATCGTATTATTAATATAATGTTAATAATGTCCTGCCCTTATGACAATTGCACCCTCAGTCTCTGTCTATATAAAAGCCACTAACTCTGTTCTCTTTCCTAACAACCCAAAATAGCAAACTCAATACATTCTTAACATCACTCCTTCACTCACTCTTTCTACTACCATGAGACTTTCTCGAAAGGACCGGCATGTGATGATTGCAGAAGATGAGTCAAAAAAGCTCAACAGAAACACTTCCATGTCAAATCCTAATCTTCCTTATCCTTATAACCTCAACCTCTCTTCTTTCTATACCCATAATAGTTTTTACATCTACCACGGTCCACAAGTTCGTACGGTCAAAGAGTCCATAAGATCTTCCACCAATGCAACTTTTTTGGTCTATCAATCCGACTAGCTAGTTCAATCCATGTAAAACAGCCGGTTTTTTTGTCAATCAATCTCGAAAAAAAAGAAAAAAAAATTGTTTCGCATCTCCTGCCCAAACGGTTTAACCAAACGAAGGCAATAAGCCTTAACGTTCCAGTTATGCTGATTTTCGTAGTCAAGGGATGAAGTATGGCCAAAGATGTGTGGCTCTTTTGCAGTTTTTGTTTATTTAGATATGGTGTGAGTGTATGCAGACCGGTTCAAACTTTACTCTCTTAAGAGTTTTGTTGTAAATTTGTAATAATGCTACAACTTGAATTTGTGTCTGTTTGTAGCATGTAAAGAGTACATATATGTAACCTTATCTTTATGTATGTCAATATGGATGTTTTTATATCAGTTAATCTCCGATTTAATTAAGAACCTAACAAAAAGTACGTACAGAAAATTTAAAGGCAAAATTCTAATCACAAAAGTCATAAACTACTTGTATATAAAGATTTCACAAAACAACTATTTACCAGGGTATATAGTATAACACTTCAACTTAACCACCGTTAGTGGCCGCTTATATTCTGTTAAAATGTGTGATGTGACATTTAAATATTTTTTATTGATAAAACAATTTTTAATTAGTACATAAATTTAAACTGTAATTATTGATTCAAATATAAGAATACAAAATTTTCCTGCATAGGTTATTTTTTCTTCTTTCCCCAACATTTATTAGTTGAAATTGAATCAGAGTGAACCGGGTGATCATCCTAACCACTAGTTGTAGTGGCTGTTTGTTATGACTCTGAAGAAGGAGCATTTTATCAATTCTGCTTCAATATATAAAAGATGATTAGAGGTTAAACTAATGTTATTTCATGTACATAATAAGATTTATATCTACAATTGTTAACAACTGAACAATTCTAATATTGATGAGATGGTTAAAAATACATGTAGAGTATGAGATATAGATACAATAAGGGCAGTTAACATATCTCCAATCAATCACACTAACATTTGCATGATTCCGAAAATCACAGAACCGGTAACGCTTTCGGATTACCGGCCTATTGCCCTTTGCAATGTATTGTACAAAATCATTTCCAAATGTCTAGTGAACCGGTTAAAAAGCCATCTTAATAGTATAGTTTCTGATTCCCAAGCGGCTTTCATCCCCGAAAGGTTAATAACTGACAATGTCTTAATCGCTCATGAGATGATGCATTCTTTAAATACCCGGAAACGTGTCTCACAATCATATATGGCGGTCAAAACTGATGTTAGCAAAGCATACGACAGAGTAGAATGGAATTTTCTTGAGACCACAATGCGTTTATTTGGTTTCTCAGATACGTGGATAGGTTGGATAATGTCTACAGTTCGAACAGTACACTACTCAGTTTTGATTAATGGCTCGCCGTTTGGAGAAGTAATTCCAGAACGTGGAATCCGACAAGGAGACCCGCTATCTCCGTATCTTTTTATCTTATGTGCGGATATCATGAATCATTTGATAAAGTCCAAAGTAGAATCTGGCGATCTGCGAGGCATCAGAATAGGCAATGGAGTCCCCTCCATTACTCATTTACAATTCGCGGATGACTCTTTGTTTTTCTGTCAAGCAAATAATCGAAACTGTCAAGCTTTGCGTGACGTTTTTGAAGTGTATGAGTATTACTCAGGACAGAAAATAAATGTTTCCAAGTCAATGATTACTTTTGGCTCAAGAGTACGAGGGCAGGTGCAAGAACGTCTTAAAAGGATTTTGAGAATCCCCAATCAAGGTGGGGGAGGTAAGTATTTAGGCCTTCCCGAACAATTTGGAAGAAAGAAAAAGGACATGTTTAACTACATTATTGAACGAGTAAGACAGAGAACTACCAATTGGAGTGCTAAGTTTCTTTCCCCAGCCGGTAAAGAAATTTTACTTAAATCGGTAGCTCTCGCTATGCCCGTCTATTCAATGTCCTGCTTCAAACTGCCTTTAGGAGTTATATCGGAGATAGATTCAGTTTTGATGCGGTTTTGGTGGGAGAAAAGTGCTCAATCGAAAGGGATACCTTGGATAGCTTGGAAACGATTGCAATTTTCAAAGAAGGAAGGTGGTTTAGGATTTAAAGATCTAGCTAAGTTCAATGATGCTCTTTTGGCTAAACAAGCTTGGCGTATCATTAGACATCCAAACTCTTTGCTAGCCCGTGTTCTTAAAGCCCGATATTTCCGAGACAAATCATTTTTAGATGCAACTACTCAGAACTATCAATCTTATGGCTGGTCTTCGATCCTAGCCGGACTTTCTTTAATCAAAAAAGGTGCTCGTTTCTTGATAGGTGATGGCACTTCTATTCGTGTGGGAAGAGATAATGTCTTACCAGATCATCCACCAAGACCACTTCACACTTCCGCCCTTTCTTTGGACGATAACATCAGTGATTTTATCACAACGTCAGGTTCATCCCGTTTTTGAGACCGAGAAAAGATACAATCCAACATTATCAATGAGGACCAAGAGTCCATTCTTCAAATTCACATTCCTCGTTTGACAACACAAGATCGTTTGGTATGGCATTACCATAAGTCAGGTGAGTATACGGTTCGAACCGGCTACTGGTTTGCCACTCATGATCCTTCTAGTGACGCATCACCCATTGATGTACCACCGGGCTCGATACTTTTGAAGAACAGAATTTGGAAATTATCAATATTACCAAAACTCAAACATTTTCTTTGGCGCATTATTTCACGAGTACTACCTACTACGGATCGTTTAATTTCGCGGGGTGTTTCTGTTGATCGTTTATGTCAATGATGCAAAGTTACAGACGAGAGCATTACTCATACTCTGTTTTTGTGTCCGGCCTCCAACTTGATTTGGCGACTCTCAGGGGTTCCTGCTTCCACTATTTCCTCTTTCTCTACTGATTGTGAAACAAACCTTTTGACTTTGTTGAATCTTCAAAATATTCAAGGGCTATCAAAACAAATAACATTGCTTCCTTGGTGGGTACTTTGGCACATTTTGAAGTCTCGGAACAATCTTATTTTTAACAATATTCGAGAAAATCATTCAAAGGCGGCACTTCAAGCTCAAGCGGACACAAAAGAGTGGCTTCGAGCTACGGCAATTGATCAAAATGATGTTTTTACTTTACAAGAGGATTCTGGATCACGTTGGACTCGTCCTCCATCTCCTTTTGTCAAATGCAATTATGATGCAAGTTTCAACCCTCACACTCATCAGGTCACTGGGGGCTGGGTTATTCGAGATACCGAAGGCAAAGCTTTGTCTTGGGGTTCTGCGAGATTACGAACTGTTAGATCACCACTAGAAGCTGAAGGCGAGGCGCTTCTTTTTGCTTTACAACAATCGTGGAGCAGAGGTTTTTCAAGGATTTATTTCGAAGGAGACTGTGAAGTTTTAATCAACATCATCAATGGCTTCTCCACAGATATAAACGTTGATGGTCTCTGTCAAGACATCTTCTTTTGGGCAACAAAGTTTCGAGAGATTCGTTTTATTTATGCTAAACGTGTTTGTAATGAAGTAGCTCATCTTTTGGCTAAGAAAGGTTGTATAAATAGAATTTTCTTTTCTGGTTGTGTAACACCACCATCTTGGTTGGGAGAACTCTTGTACTTTGAACGTATTCATTCAATATAAAGTTCTTTTGCTGAAAAAAAAAAAAACATATCTCCAATATCTTTCTAATAAATCACATGCACAATATGCTTTTACAAGCTCCCTTGAAATGGAGCACTGGAGGGGATGACAATTTTGAATGATAAGGCGTAGAACCAATTAAGCTTGAAGAATCCACTTGGCTAGATCGTCAGATGATATGACGTGAGAGACTTGCATTGTGCCACCTTGAAGTTGCTCTTGAATAAAATGAAAAGGCAATATGTTTCCAACTATACACAAACACAAGATTAGCTGAGAGATAATTGACACCATGAAATTGTCATAAACAATAATGGGAGTAGCGAGAGGAATCACTATAAACGATATATTTTGCCTCAGTGAAGGAGTGAGCAGTCCTTTTTTGCTTCTTGGAGGACTTAAATATTGGATACTTTCCAAGGTCAACAATTAATGTATGCACCAACGGAGGCTGTCACTAAACATCCGAGTATCGATAAAGTGAGGGAAGAATCAACAGAGTGTATGAGGCCATGATTAAAGGTGTCAGCAAGGAACCAAAACACACGTTTTGATAGCCTCCCAATGTGAATTTGTTGGTTAATTCATAAATTCGGAGGGTTTAGTTTATTCACCATAAAAGCAAGATCTAATAGTGGAATAGCAAAATACTGAAGATTCTCAATTGCAGCTCGATATTCTGTTGTGTCATCGAGGACCAAACCAATGTGAATAGTCAGATGCTTTGTAGTTTGTACCGAGATGGGTCTCAGGTCGGCATGGTATTAATCAGCTAGGTCTGAGCTAAGAGATCCATGAGGTACTTATTTCGTGTTAGGTAAAGACTAGCAGAGGTGCAAGTGAACTCTATTCCAAGAAAGTATAAGAAATCACCAAAATCCTACATAGAGAAGATAGAGTATGTGCTTGTAGTAAGCTTAAATCTTACGAGAGACTATGATAGAGTACATGCATTGTATTATAACCATTTCAACACTAACGCTGCACTAGATGTAAAACAGTTTTTTTTTCGAATAAATTTTACATTTTATTCAAAAAAAAGAAAAAGATAGAGTATGTGCTTGTAATAACAATGTCGTCAAAATATATCATGAAGAATGAGGTGCTTCTCATTATACCAACAAAAAGTCAGCAAGGAGCTTACCTGAGTCCATGATTGGCTAAATGGAAGAAAAAAAAAGTTACATTGGCGATATATGTAGAATCTTGTCATGACACTTCCATGAGAATACAATGGGGTAGGTTTGGTGATGCCTTCAAGGCTTCAACGGTGAGAGATTACTCATCATCGATTAAAAAAAATAAAAATTCATGAGCCTTAAGAAGGGTTTAACTTCTATCTTTCCCGTGAGATAGTTTGTGGAGTTGGGCTTGGAGATATTATTCCAAATGTTGATCGAGATCAAGGATGTCTTCGAGCCACTAATATTAAATATAGCGACAAGTTCGGTGGCATACATAATGCTTAAATTTTAAACATAGATGCGTTCACAAGTTAAGCTACTTAAGAGTTCACAAGTTAGGGTAGTCCAAAAGTTGGGTGGCATACATAATGCTTGTGATTTCTTTTTTCTTTTTACTTCGCAAATGCTATATAAGGAATAACGATATGATTTTAGTGGACTGTACTTGCAGAAAATGCCGTTTATATTTTGTAAGAAAAAAAAAATGTCACCGTTAAATAGAAAATTTTCTGTATATAGTTTTTCCAAATTTTGTAGAGCAGATACTTGTGCAAAATTTAAGATCAAGTATATGAGTATCCACTGTAGATATACGTCGTTAACACATTCGTAGAACCTACATTCACGTGTTTCAACTTACATACTTAAAAATCTTTGGAGGAGTTAAGCCATACAAATTTACATTAACTAGAAAAGCATATAAACTTTAACGAGTTATCTCAATTAGATATTAAACTTCAACTTATATTACTTATAATACATAGCAGACCTCAACACTTAGTGACGATCTAAACCTTATTTTAAGTAACAAACACATGTCTTGGTTTGCACTTTTTCCGAAGGCAGAAAAATAAAAACTATCATACTTCTTATAATTTATTACATTTTCAACATAGCTTACGTTTTATCCCGCTTATTTACGAAATTCCTTTATAAGCACCCCTCCATAGCGCTGGACCGCCTCATCGCAGCTAATAGCCCGTTCTTTCGGCCTCTCAAACCGGTCAACATGGCCAATAAAAGGACGGGCACCACTGAAGTATTGAGTACGAGCCGTGGGATGATAAAAAATTGGCTTTTCTATAGTTGACTCATAAGAAGACTGATAAATGACTCGACGAGCAGTAATAGTACTAGTTGCCTCTTTTACAATATAAGATTTTGGACCACCATATTCGTAGGAATTTTGGTTAAAATAAGAAGGAAGCTCGTTTCTAGGAACATATGGGTTAGGGGTAATTTTGTGGGACTTACCATACACATTATCGACTATTTCAAAAGCCTTTTGTGCGATTTTTGTATTCCTATCATTTTGAGCCATTGCGCGCCAATGAAGAACAAAGAAGAGAAGAAAGTTGTTTTTGTCTTAGTGTTTCTTTGGTTTTAGTTTGCTTTGGGAAAGAAGGCCAATGACCTCCTTTATATAGAAAGTTTAACGAACCTAGCTACTTACTCATCTGTTGACTTATCTTTTAGGAATTATCCCTTGACTTTACATATAAATAGTCACTTTTATTAGATTATCCATTTTGTAATGGTTAATTGAACAGAAACTGAAACTTGACATTACAAAGGGACCTTTTTGCCAAAACAAATACTGTTTCGGTAAAGGAAGACAAGAATAGATGGTATATGAACTGACATTGAATTCCTTTGACCCAAAAAAATGAACATTATATTGAATTACTTCATAGAAAATTAAGACAGTACGCGGCAGTACAAGATATCTCGTCCGAATTCGGTTTGAGCGATGTCAGAGGGTCATCAGGGGAAAACCTTTTTTTCCTTCCACCGATCGTAAATGTGTTCACTCCTGAACAAAGGTTAAATAAGCGGATCCTTCACCATACATCTATAGAGACCTGTTTCGTTTGTTTTTATTGGTGGTCGAATCATCCTAAGCTTGCAGATTATTTCAAAGCAAATGATATATTTTCTCACGACAAGCAAACTTAACCATTCATAGGTTCTTGAAAATCTGATCCGATCGATGCGTAACCAACCATGCGATGAATGTATGTTTGTTATGTTTAATAAAAGATTAATAAATCAAATGTGAATGAAAGAAAGTGATCGAATATTATAAATTTCATGTTTGACAATTAAGTATTAATACTCATTTGAAATAACATTATAGTAGTAATTTCAGATTTTAATTAGAAATTATTTTAAGACATCGTCATTTCTTTCGAAAACAATCTCTTAAGTTTACTTAATTATCAATATTGATTGATTTAATTTTAAATAAAGTCATAAGATCAGTTTAAAAAGAAATAAAGCCACATGAAGTCTATACATCTAGGGTAAGCAATGTCGAGGAATAATAGCAAAGTTGAATAGGATGCTAAATGAGAAGAAATGATAAAGAATATAACAATGAAGACCACTTGTCTTTTTCGCCCCAGTGCAATTAACCTTCCCAAAGCAGATTCCCTTTATATCACGACATATGCATACTTCCATATATACACGTTTCATGCATATGTAGACTGTAATCTGTAAGACATACAAAGAATCATGTTAAAAAGAACCGTAGGTGAGAGAAGAGTGGAGATACGGTTCCTTATCAGCTTCTATCCTCTGATAAATTTCTGCCACATTAGGCCACAAACCTTCATTTTGTAAGTATTTACATCTCTTGTGCCATTAATTAGTTTAATATATTTTATGGATCCACAAATTAATATTAAGGTCATCCAAACCCAAAAATCTTTCATATATATCTTCTATAAATCATGATAAAAATTACCTGAGTCTTTACTAAAGAATCAATTCCTCTCTTTTTGCCATGATTTAATATTTATTATATCATATATATTAATTTATAAATACTTCTCTCTTTAATATTTTACTCTAATTTATAAATACTTTTCTAGAATTTTTTACTAGTATTTAAATTTATAATCAGAGTAAAAAACACATTTGTAATTTATTATGCTTACGCTATTATGAAACAATATATTTTTACATTACTAAAAAAAGCGAGTTAGATTAGGGCTTATAAACAAATACTACAGAACATGTCATTTAGGCCCATGTTGATAAGATATCTATTAACGAAACGGGTAGCGCAAGAAATTAGGGTGAAAGTGATAAAACAAAAACCCTAGATCTATTCATAGTTATTTCACCGCCGATTCTGACGATTGGATAAGAAATGGTGTCGATCAATTTCCACTCACGCTTTCGTTCAAGGAGAAAGTGTCGTCGCACTGGTTACGGTAAGTCTGAAAGAAAATGATGTAGCCAATAATCTTTTGTAGGCCTGATCTTCATTTTGGTACTTTGATAAACAGTATGTCTTCGGTACCACTCTAGTCTTTTGGACTACTACTCTGGTTTGGAGATTCATGTGAACGTACTGTAATATTATGTATGATGGATGGAAATTATTTAGAAAGTTTTCTTGGTTTCCAGGTAAGGTTATGATGGAGACTTTGCGGCGAAAAATGAAACTTTTGATGAGAAGGCTGAAAATGTTAAAACGCTTGCTAAAAAAGTTCTGTTGGAACAAGAATATTGACAAGCACGTGTACCAAGATATGTTGATGAAGGTGAAAGGAAATGTTTACAAGACCAAGAGTGTTCTTATGAAAAGCATACACAAGTCTAGCAGGGAGAGAAAGTTTGCCAGAAGCGAGAAGCGTTTGACTCAGGTAAAAATAAGATCATGTTTTATTAAGTCTTTTGTTTATTAAATTTGGTTTTAGTTTTGGGTGTTTATATTTTGGTCATCTCATAGGTGCCTGAAGGAGAGAAGGCTGCACCAGCACCTCAACAAGAAGAGTAAGAAACCCATCTTAATTATTCCCACTTTGTGTGGTGCTTGTTTCTTGGTCTACGATTAAGCAAAGAAGATGAGCTTACCTAAAAAATGTTAAATATCTCGATATCTTGGTGTTGCGGGGATTCTTGCTACACATTGTGAACTCAAAAGAAACCGCATTGTGTTCCTCTACTTGATTCATCCAATCATTTTCACCAGCTTTATAAGCCGTTGAAGAGAGAAATATATATCAGATTCATTGGTCTTCTTTCTTTTCTCGGCTTTAAGGGAACCAAGAAAAAGGTGTTGTGAACTTGAGGTTGAAAATTTTGAGTTTCCTTGTAGAAGCAAAGTTTTCCATTATCTTTAAAGATCCGTCCAAGATTCCTTTATAACGTTTCTGGATCTGAATTTACTTCGTTTTGCGCCCTAGCAGTTTTGTTATTTTTTTTGTTTCGCTCTTAATCTGCAAGGTGTTACCTCATCTTTGTTCATCGTTTGTCTCTTTATCAAAGACTTCTTAAATATTGTCCAATCATTTTCGCCAGTTTTCCTTCATGAGCCTTTGATTAACCGCTAGAGAAGAAGTTGAGTTAGTTATATGTGTTGTGAAATTTTGTCTCAACAAGCATTTGATATCCAGGTGGTTAGGCTATGTAGATCCAAACATTGAGAAAAGAAACAAAGTTTTAGTTAATTACATTTTTTAATCATATTTAAATATAAACAACATGAATTTTTTTGAAAAGGTAATAATAGACGACGCTGATTATGGTTTGTTCAAAAAGCACCTTCAAAATTGAAATTGAACCTGAAACCATCATATTTTTCCCTAGCCAAAAATTATCACAAAACCACGTGCTTCTTTGTTCGAACTTGCAACCCGTTGAAGAGAAATATGTTATGTTAAAGATGTACTAGATTAAAACTCGCGCTATGCTGCGGGATATTTCTCTTAAATTATGTTTGAATCTCTAACAATCAAGAAACTAATCTTTTTTAGTAGAGTCATGGTCTATTACTTATTCTTCTTTTAGAGAAGCAACTATGAATCGCAATTAAAATATTTACTATAGTCTTTCATTTTCTAAAATTATTTTTAACCATTAGATCACATTATTTAGTTAAAACGATAATAGACAATTGAAAGTCACCAACTTACCCTAGAATACTAAGCTGCAAGACCAAAACCAAATTTGCACCATAAATTCAGAGAAAGATAATAGCAAATGCAAATTTAGCATTGATCGTTTGATGAAGAGGTTTTATTGTCACCGTATAACAATATAATTGTTGGATATGGGCTTCACCCATTAAATGTCATTTGGCCCAAACAGAGACCCATTTATTTACTGGGCCTGTTGTCTCCCAAAATTAGCCTACCAAGCTTGGAGGGTAAAACGGTAATTTGCTGAGGAAACAGAAGAGACCTTAGGTCACAATTCTTGTCCTATAAATAAGACACTATTTGTAACAAAATGGGACACAAGTTAATATCCAGAGAATCAGAGAATTATTCATAGCGTATACTTTCGTTCATAGTTCTTTGCGTATACGGTCGTTGGTTGTTCGTAGTTCTTTGCGTAAACCTTCGTTCGTTAATCATAGTTCTTTGCGTATATGTTCGTTGGTTATTCGTAGCTCATAGTCTGCACGTTCGTCATTTCCTCCCTGTAGCTAACCGATCTCGTTCGTCGTTAATAAAGAAGTCACTTCGTTCTCCCCAAAAATCCTATAGTTATTTGTTGTTACAACCTCGGTACAAACAATTGGCGCCCACCGTGGGGCGTGACGCTGGTAGTTGCCAGTTACTCGTGGAAAACCTGATCGAAGACGCGCTAAGCTGGTTCTCACGACTCGAGGCCAATACGATCGACAGCTATCACCAGCTTACCTCCGTTTTCTTGCAACATCACTCCATATTTATGGTCAAGGGTGTTTCGAATGCCGACTTATGGACCATGTCTCAAAAAGATAAAGAGCCGTTGAGGGAATTCATTGAGCGATTCAAGAAAGTCGTTTCCAGCATTACCATAACTGATGACGCCGCGATCGCCGCTCTATGTAATGCATGTTCGTATGAGTCCAGATTCAGAGAAGATCTCGTGATTACTCAACCAGCAACACTGGAGGATGCTCTACATCATGCTAATCGATTCATCGAAATCGAGGAAGAGAAGGCCGCGATGGCAAAACGACAACCCAAAGCATCAAGTTCGAAAGATAAGTCCAATGACGAGCACTATGAACCTCGCCAACACTACGACAAAGATTATGCTAAAAGTGACAAAGCTAAGAAAGCAGCGACGTATGCCATTGATGGTTCAGACTCACAACCTTCGAAACCATGGAACAAATATTATTGTGAAACAGATCCAAAACGCAACCAAGCGTACTGCGAGTTCCATAAAGTCTCTGGTCACTCGACCGATGAATGCCGACAACTCCAACTATTACTTCTCTCAAAATTCAAAAAAGGCGACCTCGATGTCGAATATGAATGATGCTAAGTAGCCGCTCACAAGGATAATTTATACCACCCAGTTCAAAAGGATGACCATAACAGATGCAATGACCGGCAGCGAACAGAAGAGCCTCGCAACAACGATCGACGACCCGATCCCCCTAAGCGAAACCGTGACGGACCACGACATGATGATAATGCGCCGGTTCCCTGGAATCGCATTCACATGATAATGGGCGGTTTAACGACATGTCGAGATTCTGTCCGATCAATCCGGAATTATCGACGCCAAGCCGAAGTTCACCGCAATTGGATCGTAAATAGCACGCCAACTCTCGATAATACGGAACCAATCACGTTCACAGAAGCCGACGCAGCCAGTCTGACGGGTCCGCATAACGATCCTTTAGTTGTCGAATTGATTATTGGAGAAAGTGTCGTCACCATAGTTCTCATCTACACAGGCATCTCAGTTAACGTCATTTTCAAAGATGTTCGCATACAGGTGGGAGTAGATTTGCGCTCAGCCGAACACAACGTCCAAACATTAACTAGCTTTGACGGAGACACGGTCATGACTGTCGGCACTATCATGCTGCCAATTTACGTCGGTGGAACGATGCACTGCTTCAATTTTGCTGTCGTCGATAAACCAATCGTTTATAATGTCATCCTTGGCACCCATGGTTGTACAAAATGAAAGCCGTCGCATCTACTTACCATCAATGCGTCAAATTCCCGACTGTACATGGAATCTACACGTTGAAGGGTGATCCGCTAGTAGCAAGTACCTGCTTCATAGTCGAACGCCAACTACAGAACGCGAGGAATTTTGTGATTGCCGAACCTGCTCAGCAACGCAACGCGCGATCTATCCCAGCAACCGAATCTGTGGTCCAGGTCAATATCGATACAAGTGATCCTATTCGATGCGTTGGTATAGGTTCCGACCTACTGCAATAGCTTAAAGACGATCTCGTCAATTTCCTCCGTCTGAATGTTATGACATTTGCATGGTCAATGGCGGACATGACAGGAATCGCTCCGGAAGTTACTTGCCATGAACTTAACGTCGATTTAATATATAAACCGGTAAAGCAAAAGCGACGAATACTTGGTCCTGAACGCGCCACCGCTGTCAATGAAGAAGTCAAGAAACTGCTCGACGCGGGATCCATAGTTGAAGTACGCTATCCAGACTGGTTGAGCAACCCCGTCGTCGTCAAGAAGAAAAACGGCAAATGGCGAGTCTGCATTGAATTTACCGATCTCAATAAAGCTTGCCCGAAGGACAGTTTCCCTCTCCCAAGAATCGACCAGCTCGTTGAAGCTACTCCCGATAACGAATTGCTCTCCTTCATGGATACTTTCTCCGGTTATAATCATAAAAAAGGGCATGGGCCGACGAACTTGGTGGTGTATTGTGGTCGCACCGCACCTCTCCACGCTGATCGACTAGCCAAACGCCTTTCTCCCTAGCTTATGGGCTGGAAGCCATGGCGCCATCTGAAGTCGGCCTATCCACGATTAGACGATCCATGCTCGTCCGGGATCATTCACTCAACGACAAAATGCTCCTCGATAACTTCGACACCGTCGAAGAACAACGCAACCAAGCTCTCCTACACATCCAGAACTACCAGCAGGCCGCAGCGAAATTTTACAACAAGAAGGTGAAATCTCGATACTTTGCCGAAGGTGATCTCGTACTCCGCAAGGTTTTTGAAAATACCGTCGAAGTAAATGTTAGAAAGTTAGGCGCTCATTGGGAGGGCCCCTACTTAGTCTGCAAAGTCATTAAACCCGACGTCTACGAACTTATCGATGGACGACACTCCTATTCCTCGTTCGTTGAATTCCCCAAATCTCAAAAGCTACTACTAATAGCGTCTCCCTCGCGCCAAAAAAAAAAAAAAAAAAAAAAAAAAAAAAAAACCGGTAAACCTTACCGAATACTATCTTTCGCAATATGAACGGTTGGCTTGATCCCTTCATATGGGTACGTAGGCAGCCCTTCCCAGGCACAGCTATAACAAAAAAAAAAAAATCGTCACAAGTATAAATCAATGTCGACATACTTAACGCAAGCTATTTCGAACGAGACCGTCTCGACGATTGATCCGCTCCCACATCGTCAAAACACAAGTATAAATCAACGCCGACATACTTAACATGAGCTTTTTCGAACGAGTCCGTCTCGACGATTGACCTGCTCCCACATCGTCAAATCACAAGTATAAATCAACGCCGACATACTTTACGCGAGTTTTTTCGAACGAGTCCGTCTCGACGATTGATCTGCTCTCACATCGTCAAATCACAAGTATAAATCAACGCCAACGTACTTAATACAAACGAGCTCTTTCGAACGAGTCCGTCTCGACGATCGACCAGCTCCCACATCGTCTCCCTGGCCAGGAGTTCGATTTAAACGCGTTCCACATGGATGCAGTGGCGAAATAATCCACATCCTTACTTCGGTAAGGACTAAAAGCCGAGCCAGTCTCGCATTAGCTAGCAGGCGGTCGAATCATAATAAGCCAAGCTCCGGCTTGCACGTTCTTGCCGACCTCATAGCACCCACAGGATAAGCCGGACACCAGAACCGCACCTATATAGTACGACGAGTCCGCTTTGTCTACTTTCTACTAAGTTCATCGTTTCGGCTCAAACGTATACAGGATAAGTCAAAAGACGTCTTGCCCCATAATACGTTTCGAAACTAAGCTTAAAACGCCAAGGATACCTCACACAAAATCAGCCGAGGATTACCTTGCACAAAAATGATAAAGGCATAAACAGCTTCTCTTAGCACGTAAAAGTCAAACGACTAGACGGGATAAGCCGAGCTGCAGATCGCACCTTGTCCGTAATTACAATTAGTACAACATCAAGAACAAGCAAAAACAAGAACCAATTGCACCTTCTCATCAATAAAAGGAAGCTGCTACAACAACGATACGACC